GGATTGTGACAAATGTAGGCTTCATATTAAGTCTTGCACTCTGTGTGTGTGTGAGAGGTAGTGTAGGTGTGTGTGTGTGTTGGGCCACCAAGCCCTTAGTTAGTGGAGAAATACATATTTCTCCACTAACTCATCTTCTTCCTCACAAACCCTCTCTCTTTCCTCTATTAGTGTTCTTGAAACCCTAGGCCTACCACCTTGTTTTTGGACCACTTCCCTTGACATTTGAACTTAACCCTTGGGAAACAAAAGCTTTCCCTCACCTTTCTCTTCAAAACCCTTGAAGGGTTTCTTGAAAAGCCTTTGTTTTCTATGGATTCAAGAGCGACAATCCTCTTGTGAGGTAGGGGGTGTTTTATGTTTATAAACTTAATGTTTTATGTGCTTTTGGGGTTTATATGACTTGTATGCATGTCTATATATGAATTTTTGAATTGTATATAGTTGTACCTTGTATGAAAATAAGCTTTGACATGATATTATTAAAGGCATTGACTTAATCTTTAATATATATAAACTTGGAATCATTTGGACTTATTTTGAAATCTAGGGAAATTAATTATTTAATTTAATTAAATTCCATTTAATGGTTCCAATGATTTAATTAAGGTTTTGACTTGATATATGTGATAACCATGATATGATCTTTGATATATCTTAATTTGAAGTCATTTGGATGAGCTTTGAAATCTAGATTAATTAATTTCTATTTAATTGCTCCATTGATTTAATTAAGTATTTAACTTGATATTAGTAATGATCTTTGATATATCTTAATTTGACGTCATTTGGAGTAGTTTTGAAATATAGGTAATTTAATTATTCTATTTAATTAAATTCTATTTAAATTGTCCCATCGATTTAATCAAGTGTTGATATCATTTTTATGCTTAAATCATGGATTTGAACTTATTGTGTATTCATGTGATCATGATTTCAAAGCATGTTTAGTATATGTTTATATATTGAATAACATGTCGTAGTAAATTGTTTCATTTACTAGCTTTCTAAAATTTAGAGATTTTGTTGTTGTATTCATGAAATCTTGTATAAAAATAAGAAAGTTACCTTTAAGCCTTATTACTAGATTGTTGTATCCTTAGTAATTGTGGCTTGTATGATAGTAACTTGGTTTAATTTATATTTAGAAATTTAAAGCATGTGTAGCTTATAAATATTGTATAGATGTTATTTGATTTACTAACTTGTTAATTCCTAGAAATGTATCTTGTTGTGTACTACTATATTTATCTTGGAAGCTTGTTACTAAGTTGTAGAATATTTAGTACTTGTAGTTTACATTATGGTAATTTGATTTGGTTAAATTATAATGTCACTATAGCGTGTAACGAATCGCACATTGAAGATTCAACATTGTGTACATTTGCATGTGTAACGTATCGCACAATGAAGATACGACATGGTGTATGCCATTGTAGACATGAAATCCTAGGACATTATTTGTGTGGTTTTAACTCTACTTGTGCATGGAAGGTAGTTTTTATGCATTATTTGATTTTGTATAAGTTTTGGCCTGACTTGTTGATTTTATATATGTTTTGGTCTAATTTGTTGATTTTGGAAAGCTTGTAAGGACATAAAAATGTCACGGCTAGGGTTCAGTTCAGTACGGGAGATATGAGTTCTCCCTATGATATAATGCGCACTAGGTAGTACCTTGTGAGTCGTAATTATTCGGAATAACTTATACATGTGCGCAATAGGTAGTGCCTTGTGGGTCGTAATTACCCGAAAACACTTGCTTGGTCTAAAGACCGCATGTCCTAGTCTTTCCACTACTTGATTTCGCATTCAATTCCAAGTTGTTAATCATGGATTACTTGTAACTGTGATATGGTGCTTGTATTTTCAAATCTTATTAGTATACTTGAGCTTGTATATTTGCTTCATGTATTTAAATTTCGTTTAGTATACTTAAACCTTGTATACTTGCCTCTTGCGTTTCAATTTCGGTTAGTATATTTAAACCTTATATACTTACTTCTTGTGCTTTTCAATTACGTTTAGTATACTTGTGCCATGTATACTTGCTTCATATGCTTTGAAATTCCATTTAGTATACTTAAGCCTTGTATAATTGTTTCTTGTGTTTTTCAATTACGTTTAGTATACTTGTGCCATGTGTACTTGCTTCGTAGGTTTTGGAATTCCATTTAATATACTTGTGACTAGTATTCTTGCCTCACATGTATTTAAGTTTTATTTAGCATACTTGTACCTTGTATGCTTGTATGTTACGCATTTCATTTCAACCGCGTATGTAGCTTGAGATGATCCCTTAGTTCACCTTGGAACATAGACGTTAGTGGCATGAACCACATTGATTGATTTATATCAACTTGTAAACCTTGTAAAACTTTAGGTTATATGCATATTTATCTCATACGAGTAACTTGTTTACTTACCCTAGTTGTTTGGGATATTTTTAGGTACGGAAACCTTGTTTTGGGGTGCACGACATCCCTAGGTTGGCGTGGTTTTATTTATGTTCTTCTATGTAATTTTGTTTGTATACAAGTATTAGCATGTTTAAATTTCACTTTTGAAGTTGTAACACATAGCTAGGTTTCATATGTCGTTTTTACTTTGAAACATGTAAAGTGTACTTTGATACACTCTTTGAGGCTTATTTAACATGTATGAGGTGTGGCCAAGGGTCAAACACCATTTTGTTCAAGTCTATGTATTTTGGTATTGAAATTTACCTTTAAAGGAAATATTAAGAAATTAGAAGTTTTAGCATGTCGTTTTCAATTTGGCTTATGTAAAGTGTGCATAAGCACACTCCTTCTGACTATTTGTATATGTATGACGTGAGGCTAAGGGCCAAAACATCTTTTGCTTCCATTTGTATACTTTTGGTTTCATGTTTTCCTTTAAAAGTAATATTTTGAAAATTTGAGGTTTGATAGGTCGTATTTTGAGGTGACAGGCCATTGTAGCGCATCTAAATAGACATATTACGTTTGCGTGCACAATATTTTTTGCACAAAACCTCATCCTTAGTGAAATGAGCCTTATATGGACTCATTTTGCATTTTTTTGCCAAATCTGATCTTAAGGGTATTTTGGGAATTTTCTTTCAAAAATAAATTCCGGCCTTGATATGGTCACTTAGAAAATGTGATTTTAGGGGGGGTCACTTTACAAACTTTTTGCAAAAAAGCTCATCTTCACATAGTTTTCAAGGTTACAAAAAATGTATTTTTTTAAATTTAGACCAGATCACTATTCACCAGCAAGTCAGCTTTTTGGCGACCGGTCGCCACTTGTCATGGGGTGCTTGTGGGGGTACTCCTAGGGTATTAGGAGACCGGTTGCCCAAACCGGTGACTAGTTGCACCCCTTTTGCATTTTTTTTTGTTTTTTTCTTTCAACTTCAGAATTCGATATTTTTGTCATTCGGACTCCGAATCAGGTGATTCTTGAGTCTAACTTTGTTATTTTTTTGTTGTCTATCCACTGATGTGTACGGTGGAACCCATTTTAGTTTGGAATGACCATTTTTCCCTTGATCCATTTCTTAGAGGGTTTTGAAACCCTAACTTCGGTTTTACTTCCACTGAGTCACAGGACTCCTTGGAAGACCTCTTTTGTGTCTTGGGGATGACGTACATCTCTAAAGTCATGTTATGTTTAGCTTTCGTAAATTTTGGATCCGTTTTCGGTCATCACATGACGCACTGGGTTTGTAAAATCTAGGGCCGTCACAAGAATAGCAGGTAGATTAAACAACACTCCTCGAATGCTTTGACCCTTTCAAAGTGTGATCGCTTTTACTTATGTTCTTCAATATTTGAATTCAATGTAGAAGTAGATCTGTTTTTCTCTGATCGTCATAGATGCAATTTTATGATCACGATCAGGATTTAAACAACACAACTCTAATCTCACTATGTGTTTATGTGTATGTTCTAGAAAGATGACAGATAAATCTCTTGGATTTTCTGCGAAAATATTCCTCCAAAAGCTTTTATGAATAATGAAGTTGTAATGCTAAAGCTATGAATAAACCTTCATGTGTATTAGGGTTTATATAAAATTTTTAAAGACCTAATCCTTTTGAAAATAAAGGAAATTTTGTGCATAGGACTTTTGGTAACATTCTAAACCACATAAGAAGTTTCAAACTGACCAGGACAAACTTTCCTAAAACTGAAACAGCAGTGGTATCGGTAGTAGGATGTTGAACCGGTTCCTAAAAGACAATATTGAATTTTCGAATCTTAGCTTCTTGAACCGGTTTCTAACTGTGGTACCGGTGCCCACTTGACATATTCCAAATAGAACTTGGAAATTCTGTTTTTGGTAACTTTGGAAAATCTACCATGTAGGTATTTTGTCCTAAATAGGAAACTACTTCCTGAAAGTTGTTCTTTCCTTTTTGATGATCTCAGTATTCCTTCTGATGAATAACCTTCCAAATTCCGCAGTCGATGTCGATCTTGATATGGTAACTTGAATTACAACTCGACTAGGACTTGTTTTGTTACCAAAATTTGCCAATTTACAAAAATATGTCTCACAATCTCCCCCTTTGGCAATTTCGTGACAAAACTCTAAAAATAATTTAAGCAATCTACTCAAGCAGAAAAGTAAATTACAATTTGTTCAAAAAAACATGGAATTTTTTCTTCTCTGTTCTCTTCATCTCTTGGACAAAAATTTCACCTAATTTCTTGCACATGGATTAAGCAAAACTACCAATGAAAGTTTAATAAAACAAGTTAAAAACTCCCCCTAAATAAATTATCTAATTTTTCAGTATTTTCTCCCCCTTAAATTAACCATTGTTCTCCCCCTTTTTGGAACAAAATTGATAAAGCAATTAACATGTTATTAGAGCAGAGAACTAACTAATAGAGAAACAGTAAATAGTTTATTACATGTCAGCAATCGAAAAATATTATCCAAAAATAACAAGTCATAACAAGGAAAAACTGAACAAAATATGATGCATGTATGATATGAACATAGAATCAAGCATCAACTTCTCTAGTAAATGGAATAGTAGTAGTCGGTATATCCTCATCATCACTACCATCACTGTCACTACTAATACCATCCTCATCATCCTCAACATCATCATCTGTTTCATCCTCCTCCCTCTCAACCTCAACATTTAATGACGGTTCTGGAGGGGTTTGTCTGCAGACATCCTTTGATGTACTACTAGTCCTTTGCTCTCTAAGAAATCTAACCTCAGCCTTTAAATTAAAAATAGCATCAAGCATGGCCTTTTGATTCTATAAGAACAGTAAGTAGAGCAGATTCACATATTCTATCGTGAAGTTCTGTTTAGACAGAAAAATCTGAGAGATCTCTGGAAGAGATGAAGTAGTAGTTGAACCTATGCTAACTTTCCTAGCTGTAGCCTTGGCGGATTTAGGCTTATTAAAAGCCCGAAGATCCATCTCAGGCATAATTTCAATGTGATGAGCTCTGGGTGGAATCATAATCTCAAATTGCTGCTATAAACCCATGATGATCATAGGGAAAGGAGATTATTTCTTCTTGGTATCATTCTTGTAGTGTGCAACGATCAACCTATAGATAGAAGTAGCAAGATAAATCTATGCACTAATAGATAGAAGAAATAATACCTCTGTATGATCTGAAGATATAACGTCTTTCTTCCCGAAGTAACCAAGATTTGCCATTGCAAACAAATTCAATAAAGCTGCCTCGTCTGTGAGATAGCAAGAATGAATGAGATCGGGATATCTCGAAGAATTAGGAACACAAAGTATTACAAATTTTTCCCATTTAAGCCTGGAATGATCGAGTGGTAGATACTACCCTGTGTTTCTTACCCTCTTAGGATCTCCTAAGACTTTACTGATGACATCTTCATCAACCATATAATCATTGCCAAAAAACATACCTCAAAATATCTAAAATCATAAACCTTTCTAATATTTGTATAGAAGTAATGTTCCATGTCTGGGCTGTAGGTATGCTCCATCTTTGTGAAGAAAAGCCAGTTATTCTTCTCGATGTAGTTAACAAGTTTTTTACCCGGACTATCTCTTAGCTTCTTCAAAGTCACATTCCGTTCCGACTTTATCGGACCGTCTATATACATTTTATTGTACACCTTCCACGCATGGTTATTGTAGAAGTGTTCTCTAGCAAACTCTACTTTCCCAATGTCAGAAACTGAAGGATACCTAGCTAGTACCTTAGTAGAAGGTGAGCTAAAACTCATAGGAGAGGTAGGATCATCCCTGGAGAATTCGAACCCTCTTATGGTTCCCGGATGTAAATCGTCATTCTTGTTCTCTTGGAAGGCGGAGGAACCACAATACTTTTTCCTTTGGCCTTCTTGGATAATCTTGGAGCCATTTGATGTTCAAAAGATTTTGGTTTGAACCTTCGAAATTCACTCGTAATTTTCATGAACACTTGGAATGCGCTTCAACACTTGTTCTTGGATGAGGTAGTTTGATTATTCAAAATCCCCCAAATATCAACAACACAACAAACAAAAATGAGTCTTCAATCAATCAACCAAAATCTTCAATGCCAAACCCCAATGATCTTCATAAAATCTTAACCAATCCTCTAGAAATTTTCAAACCCAAACTCCACAATTTTTCTTCAAATCTCAAGCCTCAATCTTCAAATTCAATCTTCCAATCTAATGTGAAGGATGTATTTTCAATATTATGATGAGAAATATGCAACTTTGAAGCTATATGAGATGATATATATGATGTATATATGAATGGAGTAATGTAGAGAGGGCTATATAGAAAGAGAATATGAGTGTATGCATCAATGCCTAATAAAAGCAAGGAATGAAGCTTTTAAAAGCCAAATCATGCTACCATGAATTGGTAGCTAAAGTAGGAACCGGTTCCCATAAGGCAGAGAAGTCTCGTAAAACAGTGAGGACTTCTGAATCGGTACCCGAATGTTTGTGCTGGTAGCCAACTGCCAGAATGGTTGGCAAGCTTTTTAGGCACTTTTGAACCAGTAGGGAAAGCTTGAACTAGTAGGTATTGGGCACAATGCAGTTTTAGACTTGAATTTTTTCAAAAAACAATTTTCTTATCAAAATTTTTTCCAACACTCAATGTTTAAATGCCAAAAACAAAGAAAGTCAACAAACTAAAAACCAAAAAAAATCTTTTTTAATTTTCTTCAAAGTTTTTTTTCTTTAAACAAAAAAAAAATCATTGAGCATTTTAATCAACATCTTTCAAGTCCACACTTGATCCGAATTTTCAAAAATTTTCAGAGATGTCCATGAACTCAAAAACTTCGACTTAACAGAATTTTCAAATAATTTCAACTCTCAGGAAATAATCACAACACGAAATTTAACTTACAAATATTACTGAAACATTTAGAAATTAATCTAGCAAGTTTATGTGTGTGTGTGCAATCCAATCTCATCAATTTTCAACAAATCATTGTCTAAACCATATTGATCGAAAAACATAAAGATAAAATTGTCTATGAGCAATTTTTCTAAGCAAGATGGCTTTCATTCTAAAGAGCAGACAACAATTCCTCAATTCAACTTATCTCCACCTTTCTTTTTACTCAATTAGCTCCTCTTCAAAGTCTAATGGGAGCTTTCGATCACATCTCAATAGGTAGCCTTTTCCTAAACAAAGAATTCAGCATTTTTTAAAAAAATTTCTTTTCTTTTTAGGCTGAATAATTTCATTTTTTTACGAGCTCCTAATTTTTTTTCCAGACAATAACCTTTATAACTTTTGTGATCAATATACCCTAGTCAACAATTCAAAGATTTTCAATCAAATTTTTCAGAGATAGACTAGTGCACAAAAGGTTATGAACTTAAGTGATTCAAATATAAAAATCTCCTAATCAATGCAAATCAATTTTCTTAGTATAGATTACAAACCAAGAATCTATTTTTAATTAATTTATCATGTGCCACAATTTGCATTCAAAGATAGATCATAAATTCTCAAAAAGAATTTTCACACATATATCATGAAGAATATGATTAGAAACTCAAAACCCTAACTAGTGATCCAATGGCAACAAATTTTCATTTAAGCATAAACCATGTATCACTAACTATCTTAGGACTCAGTTTGAAGATGAAGTCCTTTTGGAACTTAGTTCCACAGGCTTAACAGATATATACTTGATCAGATCTTCTTTTCTGATCCACATAGTTTTCACTCTCACTTCCTTGAAATTTATTTCATAAGTTACCTCTTTCTTAGGCAAATTTTCAACTCTAGAAGTTTTAGGTTTCACCTTCTTCTTAGCATGAACATCATGAGAATGAATTTTAGAAAAAAATTTATTTTTCCTTTTAAACATGAGTGATACTTATGTCCATTCTTACAACAAAAAGTGCAATGCAACAGTTTAGGCACATAAGACATATCAAAATGCAATACATCAGGTAAACATGGTTTAGGCATACAAACATCAGCAAGTTTAACAAATATTGTTTTACCTTGTTTACTAGATGAGCCTTTTTCATATCCCAACCCAGTTTTAGCATTCACATCCTTACCCATGTTGATTATCTTATTCAAATTGTCTTGACTTGAAGTAAAACCTTTCAGTTTATATTGTGTAATTTTCAAATCAGTTTGAAGATCCTCAATTTTCATTCCAAGATATTCTTTCAAGTAGTTAGCGGTACTTAGCTTCTTTTCAAGAATGATAATCTTATCGTTACGCTCAGTGATGGCATAATTTCTTTAAAGCTTTTCTTTCTCTTTCATCAATCTGTTTTCTTAGATCTTCATTCTCCCCTTTTGCTTGGATAAGCTCTTTTGCTAACTTTTTGATAGCCTGTTTAACTTCAATGGTTTCTTCGACCATCTTCTTCAATCTTTCATCGTCCTTTTAATCCTCTTGCACCTGTTCATCATGAACTTCACTGTCTTCATTATCTAAAATATCAGAGTCAGATAAAGTAACAATATGAGGACCTTTTTCAAGAAAAGTGTGACGGCCCAAGTTTTGTAAACCCGGTGCGTCAGTGATGACCAAAAGATAACCCGATAACGGATACAAAATGCGGAAGCAAAATGTGTAAAATAACCTCTAGAGATGTATGTCATCCCTAAGGCATCAAAATGACTTCCCATGAAGTCATGGAACTCAACTAAGCCAAGCAATGAAACAAGAATGCCAAACCCGATAAGAAATGAACCATGGGTAAAATGGTCATTTCAAGATGAAATGGCTGCCACCGTGCATACCATTGGAAAGACAACAAAAAATGAATGGAGTTAGGCTTAAGAATCGCCTAATTCTGAGTCCGGACGGAAAAGATATAAAAAGGAACAAACTGGTATTCTCCGTTTAGGAGGTACCATGAACCTATCTCACTTAAACTGGAATAACTCTAACTATAATTAGAGTTTTGATATATGGTTAGTACCATTGGAAAGCTAACTTCAAGCTTTTGAATTTAGACTCAATAATGACCCAATTTGGATTTGGAATGAAAGAGTTATGACCCTCTGAAGTCGACGCAAGGTAGCTGTCCAATGAAAAGATGAAGAAAATGGTTCGAGGGAGGATCAGTCGACTGAAATGCAACCATCAGCCAGCCGAACCTCAACCTTCGGTCAGCCAAACCCCAATCATCAGTTGGCTGAAATGATGAATTTCCTAAAATGGCTACTGGAATGCTCCTCGAGCATGTGTCAACCGGCTGATGGCCTTTATCAGCCGACCGACGCCTCTGCTGCAGCAAAATAAAAGCTGTTGCAAGTGTGAAAAAATGCACGCAGTCCAACCTTGATGTAATGCATGAATTCCAAATGGTCCAAGACATATTTGAAAACATTTTCTATCCCCATTCGAGCATAAACAACATGCTAAACCAAAGAGAAACATGAAACTTACTCCCATGCATGAATTTTGCATAAAAATCTATAAATCATTCCATAAATAGTTCAAAAGTTGCAACTTAAGAGTTTTATGAACTATAAGCATGCCCGCAAATGTAAAATGATGTTTTAAAGGCGCTACAATGGCCTACGGCCTCATTTCAATCCATTTACAAAAATTAACCTTTCAAACCTCCGTCTTCACAAAATAGGCTATTAGGACAAAACTTATGTTTTAAAGGCATACATGTAAACTTGAAGTTTAATAGCCCTTGGCCTCATGTTATACACACAAAATAAGTATCACAAAGAGTAGTTAAATACACATTACATGAAGGAAGCCATCTTAGCTTCTAAAATACCATACATCCATGGTATACAAAATATAATATCCAAAAGGAAAACATGCTAAACAAGTGCATGTCAATATACAAAAGATGTTCCAAATTGCTCATAAGCCACTATGGATGATGAGCATCAGAGAACATTGTCTCCTTACCTATAAAATAACCTACACAACTAGGGTGAGTAATCAAGTTACTCGTAGGAAGAAGCATATGCGTATACACTAAAGTTTCAATGTCATTGCAAGATCAATATAGACGAATACAAGGGAACCTTCCACTTAACTTCTATGTTCAAGGTGTTATAAGGAATCATCTTAAGATAAATAATTCAATAACTATGTAATAACAATATCAATGTACTTAACAACAATTCGCAAGTAATCAAAATCATAAGTCACAATTAAACATTGGTTGTCAATTTGGAAAAGAATGCGAAATCAATTAGTGGAATACTTGGACATCAAATCTCGGATAAAGCCAAGGTCTAAACGGTTATTCTGGGCATTAACCTGCTGGGAATACCACCCTAGTACGCACTAAAAATTGGGAGAACTCATATCTCCCGCACTAGAGCCAAACTCTAGCCATGTCATTTGTTACAATGTCCCAAGAGAATCCAAAATATATGAAGTTCAAAACTTATACACAATATTAAGGCACATATACCACCTTCCATGCACAAGTATTTTTGAAACCACATAAACCATGTCTTAGGGTTCCAAGTCTAGAATGGCAATATAGGTGATAAGTATTTGTCATGATTCAATGTATAAAACAATATCACTAGCTTATCAATTTAAACCATGCCTCAACAATAAGCTTTATCTACTAATCTTTAACATTTTAGCAACAAGATTATAAAATAATCACAATAAATCCTCAACAAGAATATAGAATTATCACCACCATAATATAACCATTCAAGTCAATAGAAATTGTATATGGCATTTATAATTCTACATGAGTTCTATATTACTACCACATGTGAAAATACTATAATTTAGCATACTACTAAATCATATAATCTTTCTACACATGGTATATACATATTATACATGCTTAAATCAATAAACCCTAAGTCAAAAAGTGAGGGTTTCTTATAATATGCAAGACTATCATATTAAAAGCATGTACACAATATATAT